GAAACTGGAAGAGCTCACTGTGCGAACTTGCTGCTTCATACGGTGATCTCATTCCATGCTCTGTCTCTAGGGGTGGCAATTTTTACCGCCCCATCCCACCCCGTTAATAACGGATATGAAAACAACTTTTATACCGTTGGGGCGGGGCATGGATTCAAATTTTGAACCTCTCACGGGTCACAGGGTGGGGACGGGATCTATTACATATTTGCCCCGCCCCGCTAACATATAATTCTATTTAATATATATATATATATATATATATATATATATATATTATATATAATATTAATAACTTATGTGTACAGATTATATATATATATATATAAGTTATAAGTTACAACCCTAACTGAAGTGATATTATACTATAGCCAGCGGCGCATCAAGGTAATATGTCCTTCTCTCTCTCTCACACTCTTTCGTGACTTGTGGTTTTGATATTGTAATTGGTCACGCAATCTTTGTGGTTGCTCTCACCTTAACATATCTCTTGGCTGGCCATGAAACGAAAAACTTGGAGCGAAGTTAGGTAGTACTGTTTAAGCAATCTTTCTTCATCTTCCAATGCTAAGGGCTCGTTTGGATTGGCTTTTGAAACGCTGCTTTTAGCTTTTTAGGGTTGGAAGCTATTTTGAGTAGTGTTTGGCTAATTTTTTAAAAGAGCTTTTAAGTCCTAGAAGAGCATTTTGAAGAAGCTGGTACCCCCAGCTTTTCTTAAACGCTCTTTTTTTAAAGACACGGGAAGCTGTTAAATGGTTTAATGAAACTTTCAAAATACCAAGCGTGCCCTCCATATTTGTGAACAAAAAATAAAATATTCCACCTATATCCCTATATATGTAAAGAAACCTAATCGCATCACAGATTGTCTCTTTGGTCTAGTTCACAATTTCACATAGCAGCAAGTTCTTCCTCTCTTTTTTCTCATCCTCAAGATTTCAAAGCTAGGTACTCCGTATTTTTTCCATTGGACAAATAACTCCTAAATATAGTATTATTTTTAGTTTTATCATGAATCAGATTTGTTAGATTTTAACAAACGATGAGTGAGAACAATATATATATATATATATATATATATATATATATATATATATTTATTTATTTATTTATTTATTTATTTATTGCTATTGCAATTTATATTTTGATTCATTCTTGATTTTGGTTTTTTGTTTTCCCTTTTTCTCGTATACATTACCATCATATGTTTTTGCCTTCAATTTTATTTTCTCTTAGCTTTGCGAAGCTGTGGGTATATACAAGTAATATATGTGTATATTTTATATGATTTACTTGATGGTAGTTACGGAAATAAACTCCATAAGTTAGGCTAATGACTTTTTCAACTTGCATAACCACGGTCAACCAAAAAATATGAAGAACAAAGAAATCTTTTCATCTTTAGCTTTTTTTCACATCGAAATTGAATTGGGAAATACTTTCCATCTTTAGCTTTTTTTTCACATCAAAATGAACATGTATATATAAGAATCTTTCTATGGCAACCACGATGTACTAACCCAAAAAAAAATGACGAAAAAAAAAAAATCCCATTTTTAGCTTCTTCCTTTTTTCACCTCAAAATTGAATTGAAAAATAGGTGAACTTATATGTAAAGCATTGTATTAAAAAAAAAAAAAATTCCTTTCATATATCAATTTCTCAAAACACTATAGAAGAAAGAATTTATAAAATGAGTTACATATATTATGTTGAAAAAACCGAAAGAAAGAAAAATAATTAAATAATTAACTGTATGAATGACTTCCTTATAGTGAAATTAATAAAGAATGTAGAAGAATGTTATTTAGATCATTTTATAGACAACAACAATGTAAAAGAAATAATTTTTAAATCATTTTCACGATAGATGTGTAACATATTTTGTTCTTTCACAAATGATATGTTTGTTAATTTCATAGTTTTGGTTACAGTTGTTGGGATGGTCATTGTTTGGAACCTTATTTCATTGGTTAGTGTTTGGAACCTTATTTCATCTAAGGGCAAATTAGTTATATTAGTAGTAGAAGAGCTTTAGTAAGCATTTTGCCAAACAGACAAAAAAGTTCTTCTAACATTAAAAGCCCTTCTAAAATGCAATTCCCAAACACTATCAAATAATCCGAATATAAGTGATAGCTTCTACTTCTCTTCTTCTTCTATGTAAAAGCATAAGTAAAAGCTATACCAAACGAGCACTAAGCCCTAATTATAAATCTTTTTGGCTTTCCAAGTTGCAATCTTCAAACTGCTCATTAATTTGTAATGTAAATTATGCATTTTTTGTTCAATAATTTCACAAATGAAGAATATGTTCTTATGATATATAACATTATGTATATATTGTTTTTCCTAATTTTTCTGCTTGTATTAAATATCAAATTTAAACAAAATCTGCCTATCATTTTCTTTAAAAAAGAAATTATAAATATGTAAATCTTGAAATTTCATATTTTATTTAGTAGATTTATTCATTAAACAAATCATAAAGTTGTGTTTTTCCTTGATATGATGGGTGGTCACACATTCTTGAAAATCTTTCTATAAATCTCGAGGACATGAGAGTCTTGGGAGATTGCAGATGCCAGATAGAATAATAGCAGCTTAAGTCTCAAAAAGTGGAAGGAAAAAATTTGTTAATGGGCGGGCATGGGGTGCCATCCCTATATGTCTATCTATTTCAATATTGTCCACCTACAAATATTGCTCATCTCAAATATTACACTTTATTACTTGGTTGCTTGCATTATCTCAAATCACCATATATCTGAAATGGGTCTCCCACGGACCTAGCATAGATGCTCCCATTGAATTTTTTATATTTTCATTTTATATCTTAAATTTTTTAGAATTTAAAAAGATGCTTCCACTAAAATTATAATTCACTCCCTGAATTATTTTCTTTGCATTTTATATTTCAAATTTTGAAGAATTTTCAAAGATGCCCCCACTAATATTGCAATTCATCCTCATTGAATATATATATATATATATATATATATATATATATTTATTTATATATAAATTTTTTGCATTTTACTTTAAATTTTTAAAAATTTATGAAGAAAACTTCATTGAAATTATAAAAATAGACCCACTATATAAATTTGTCTCCACAAATTAAAAGACTGACCCCACTCACAAAATTTTTTGCGTCCATCACTGCCTTGCTCATTATTATTATTTTTTTATTATATATATATATACAAACACATATTATACAACATACATCGACAACTTCCCTCTAAAACAATTTACAGTTTGAGAAGCATCAAAGAGAAATGACTATTTTCTGCTTGAAAATCTCACCTTTTTTTTTTTTTTATATTACTTTCGCCACAAAATATCTTATCACTTCCACTCTTAAAAAAATAATAATAAAAATAAAAATTATTAAAATACACATCTATATACACAATGCTAGCTGCCAAAACCCACTTGCTTTTATCATATTCATTTTATATTCAAAAAAACCCTCAGACTTATTTTTAAAGCTAAGCACAAGCGCGAGCTGCCAAATCCACTTCCCCTCGAGACACCGTCTATGTGAAAGGAGACTAAGGCTCTGTTTGTATTGGCTTTTGAAAAGCTGCTTTCGGCTTTCAGAGCCAAAAAGCTGATTTTTTTAGTGTTTGGATGATTTTGTAGAAGAGCTTCGGGCCTCCAGAAGAGCGTTTAGACGAAGCTGGGGTGGCCAGCTTTTGTTGGAAGAGATGCGGGAAGCTGTTTTGGGGTTTTAATGAACTTTTCATATTACCAAGCGTGCCCCTCGTGATTCAAAGGAAAAAAATAAATTTCCAGTTGTATCCCACAATGTCATCGTTCTTCTCCTAACCCTCTTTCTGCAAATACGCCTCTCTAGCTCAAATTAGGTTTTTCATCCTCACTGCTTCTTTCTTGGTCTCCTCCAAAAATTAACACTGGAACATCTTATCATTGTATGGGCATGAATATATTTGTAGCTATATACATATATTGATGTACATACATATACATGCATAGAAGTGTACTTTTCAATAAAAATTGTATGGGTATGCGTTTGATATCTTGAGTTGCAAAGATCGCATCTCTGTTATTTGCTCTCTTTCTAAGTTGTTGGTTTTATTTTTCAAAAAAATTCTAATTTCCAAAAACTTTTGGTTGATTCTTCTATGAACTTTATAAATCTCAACATCTATGATGGGTTCATTCGTTTAGTGAATTTAACAATAAAAATCGTTCTCTCACAGTCCATTGTTTCTAAATTTCTAATTTGAATTGCATTTTAAAATGCTCTGATTTAAGAAAACAAGCTCTATTTTCATATAAAATTGCTAATCTATTGCTTATAGCTTGATTAATATATATATATATATATATATATATATATATATATAATCAGTTGCTTTATTTTATTTGGTAAAATTAACTCTTTTCATATTTTGGTGAGCTGTGCAATTGATTATTGTAATTATGTTAATTTATTCCTATGATGAGATCAAATGCATAACTTCAAAGAATGCAGAAATGTGCGCGTGTGTGTATATATATATATTATAAGTGTGTGTGTTTGTGTGTGAATTTGCATGATTAGAAAATGAAGAATACTCCTACTTGATGTATATGTTAAATACTGCTCTTATGGGATTTTTTTGGCCTTGTTATCCTTTACTTTTGGTTTGGAGGGCTTGTTCTCCCTGGATCAAGAATTGAAAATTTGATTCATTGGGACAATGTCAAAAAAAGTTTGGTAGCTCCTGGACAATAGTTAATTAAATCTAAGGGTAAAAACATAAATTCATTAATAAAAGAGTTTTGATAAATATTTTGTCAAACACAGAAGAAAAAAATTATTTGTCATCGAAAATTTTTTTTTAAATGTAGTTCCCAAACAATACGCTAAAGTTAAGTGGAAGTGATAACTTTCGCTCTCCTTTACTTCTGCATAAAAATAAAAGTAAAAATTATGCCAAAGGAGACCTAACAAGTCCCATGTCCATTGATACGGTGTGTTGGCTAGACCATCCACACACAATGCTTCCACACACAATGCTTCGAGATTAGCTAAAACATCCACCAGCACATATGCGGAGGCGCACCCGTCAAGGTCGATTGGAAGGGTAGTTTCTCCAAACTGCGGAATCAACCCCATAACCGCCACCAACATTCCCACCTAACAACCAGTAGCGGCACCACCACCACCACCATCTCCGTCGAACGGCACAACTATCAACGGCGCCGATCTGTTGAAAACCAGAACCAGAATGCGGCGGCACCACCTCCCGGAGGCCAAAATCGAGTCTGCCAACGCCGTTCTCCATTTTCTCTGGCGACGTCCAGTGCCACCTCTTACCGAGTCGTCGCCTTCCTTGCCTTGTCACACATCTGTACAAAGATGGGATGAGGGAGACATAGAGTTGTTGATTGTACAAAGTGGTGGTGGTGATTGTGGTGGGCGGGCATGGCGGCAAGGTTGGTCTCGTCAGGCAGCGACATTTAGGGTTGGGATGGTATGAAGCTGTTACTTTGCCCGAGAATCGTGAGGAAGAGCTTGGAGAGATTGAGCAGTCCCTTCAATGTTCTACCGCAACCACAGCGATGGGTTTTCAGCAAACTGCCTATTTTGCAATGGTAATTAACTTTCATCCCCACAGCCCACTCCACCACCAGCTCCACTTTTCTCTCTTGATTGTGAAGATATGCTACTTCTTGGAGACCATGTTAACGAAACATCAAGAAGAAGTCCTTGGAGCTCATAGTCGAAGCCAAGAGGGACCTTGATGGTCTTGGAGGGGTCTCATTCCACCACTTTGTGTCTCCGTAACACCGAAAATTTTCAACCTATTTGGTTGAGTTTGGGAGTTGCAGCGTTTGGCAAGGAGTAGTATGGCGTGGTTGAGGCAGGGGAGAAATTGGAGGGTGGATCGATGGTTTGGTTGATGGGATTGGAGGGTTTCTTGAGTTTGGGTTACAATTTGGTGAAAGGATGGAAGTAATCGGAGAAAAAATGGTACATCAGATGTTGAAATTGGAGATGGAGTTTGAAAATCCAATACAGGTACATCTAGGTCGGTCGGTTAAGCATCTCTCCGGGGAAGGAGTGGTTGAATAGTTCTAAGATGGCCCTCCCCTTATGTACAGTAAAAGGTTCGTGCCGCTCTTGTTCTCTTTTCCGCAGCATGCTGTTAGCTGACTTTGCTCCCTCTATCTGTGTTTAATTGTGTGTGCGTGTGTGTGTGTGAGAGAGAGAGAGAGATGTGGTGGTTAGTGACGACGGTGGTGGTGGTGGTGGTGGTGGTGGTTGCGGATATATGGCGTACCCTGCACAAATTGGCGTTCGACCCTCTTCTATTGAAACGGGAACCAAGCTCTACATCTCAAATTTGGATTATGGTGTCTCAAATGAGGACATCAAGGTATTTTTTTATTATATATTTTTGTGTGTGTTTCAATGTTAGTTGGTTATTTTCTCATCTATCTTCTTAAAAGGTTGTTTTCATTTTTTTTTTCTATAGTATAGAAAGTATTGGGGATTTTATATGTTTTAACGAGGTGTTTTGAGCTGCCAGGATTTCAGAGAACATGCTGTCTCTACTTGTTATTTGATATCTGTCACCAAGTAGACACGATATGAATACCATTGTCTTCTTTTCAATAATTTTTTTGGGTACAATGGTTTTAACTTGCAAAATATGTGCAAAGCTGCTTTTAGATTTCCAGGTTTGGAATCTCTGACTGGCATCAATTACTGTACATATATATATATATAGGGCAGTCTAATGATGTATACCATTGCCTTCTTTGTGAACGTGTATATTTAAATGAATGGTTTAATGATGTAAGACAACTTGGAGGAACAGTCTTACAAGCTTTCCCTACCAAAATCTATGTAGGGGGTAGCAGTAAAGAGTGGGTTTTGGTTAAACTATGGAACTGATTGTAAAAGATACAAGGGGTCGGTTTGAGCTCGGTTACTTTAAGAGTTTTGGTGATGGAATTTGATTATAATAAAGAATAGTAACTAAAGAAAGAAGTATAGGATTTGAGAGACAGAATTTCGTAGTTTTACCTGGATTCTTGTGTATTTTATGGTTTTCACTGACAATGGTTACGAACCATCACACAAATAGAATCTAAAATTCTCAAAACTCAACTCCGTTGAGATAAAGAAAATCAGGCAGATATTTGTTGGATGTTGCACTACTAATTTTCTTGGCATTCTCTGATTTTATATTATGAGCTTTTTATTCCTTTGTTTTTTATTCAAATCCAACAACTGCCTCAACATTTATTTCTCAAGATCAATTTGTTGGTCCATATGATTTGTCTTGGAACTGAAGTTGGACGAGAATAGAGTATTCTAGTTGTACAAATTTATCTTTAGTAGGATTCTTACCTTAAATAGGAACTGCAGTAGCTTTTCTTTGTCAAAGCTAACAAAATCATAGATGCTTTGATAGAGCTTATTTGTCATCTACTAAGTGCTTTTGGCATTGTAGTAGCTTGTAGTAAGCACTTATTTATTATTATTATTATTAAATTTTTATTTTTATTTTTATGTGGATTTGTTAAAATGGATGTTGCTTTTGAATGATCAAATTGTGTTCAGTGATGCATATAAAAACACAATTTTATAAATATTCTCTTTCCACAATTAGACTCATTTTATAAGTTTCTCCCTGTACTTTGCAAACACAATTAAAAAAGGTCCAAATTTGACCTTTGACTAAAAGCTCTAATAGGTCAAAGTGTCTAAAACTGAAAAGTATTTATTTTGACACAAAATTAGAAATGTGTTTAGCCTTTCCAACCGCAAAATGCACCAGAAGTCCATGCGGATCTGGTTCCTGATCTGTGGACTGATGATTTATCATTGCATCTTCCTTTTTCTTTAGAAAATTAGTTTCCCGATTGGATAATTGGGATTAGTATTTCTTTTTCTCTCTGTTGGTCTCTGGCTATGGCTGCTCTTGTGGAAAAAGAGAGGAAAAGGGACTACCCTGAAATTATGATATCTCCAGTAAATATTCAACCTTCGGAATTTGTCATATGTGACAGACCTCATTATAGTGAATCGATAATGATAACATGTGCAATAAGTTTTTAGGCATGCTGGTGGCTTTGAAGAAAACCCACTTTTAGATTTTACAAAGTGGTATTTTGAATTAATCTACATAGTTTTCATTATATAACATGCTCCTATAACCAAAATATATTCACAAATCCACTTTAACCCCCCACTATGGATCAATTTTTTGATTATATTAATTTCTTATCAGTACATTTATATACATCAACGTGTATGTACATATGTTATTTATATTAAAAACATAAGTTCATTATAGTATGCATTCTAAAGATGCTACTGAAGTTTAAAGTTCTGCTCTTCTGCTCCCATTCTCTCTTTCGCACTCCCTCCTACTCTTGCTTTGTGACTTATATTTTTAAAGTGATATTTGTAGTTTTTGCTTGCAGTAATTTTCTAAACACGAAATCTACAGTTGTCTTGAAGGTGGATCCAAATTGGTCGCACAATGAGCATTCAAAGAAAAGGTGAGTGAGATTCTTCCTCTTGTTGACACAGATGACATAACCTCGACCCAAGAACTACTTCTGATTATTTATTTTGTGTGCTTGGTGTTTATCGCAGATGATGTAACTCGTCTTCTGGTACTTTAACTTCTCAGTCGATGATCGTACCAATTTAATTACTCTGTTTTTTTTGCTCTAATTCATTTTTTTCAATGACGGTGATTGATTGTTTCGTAATTTGATCTTCTCAAGTGGGAATAAACGAAGCTTGGAAGGTGAAAGCTGTTAAACACTCCTCCCCAAGGGCATATTTCAGGCCAAGTAAGTTAATCCAACCCTCTTCTTCTTCTTCTTCTTCAAGAACCGGCGCACTTTAGCCAAGTTTTAGTTAAGTTGGTCACACTCTGAGCATTGTAGCATATTTGAAAATTTACAGTCAATTTGTGCAAAAATAGTTTCATAGATGGCGCATTGTAGAAACTTTGGTTACAACGATTCAGAACCAGCTTATTGGAGAGTTGTTATAGTTACAGTTGAATGGTACCAAGTTCAGGTGCATTTTAGCTGTACGTTTTACGACGAGCGTATTGTAGTGTCATCTTATACCCTGAGTCGCATTTTAGTTACGTGTTACAACCAGACTAAATTCAGTGTATGATAGCATATTGTTGGGGACAACATGAGGGAAGTGTGTGTCACAGCGGCATGGCACATGGTCCATGGAGGGTAGGATTGTCAATTTAGAGAGCTTTTTTTATATTCTCTCATTTTGGCAGGTATGAAGCTGTTACCTTGCCCCAGAATTGTAAGGAAGAGCTTGGAGAGATTGAGCAGTCCCTTCGATGTTCTACCACAACCAGGTTTTCAACAAACAGCCTATTTTGCAATGGTAATTAACATTCATTTTGCAAAAAAAAAAAAAAATAACTCTCATTAAATATTCTCAGGCATCTAATTGAAAAATAATAATGGTGATAGAAGTTTTACACTTATGCAATTTAGGGCCAAGTCTTCAAAATACATACATGTGGGTACCATCAGGTACCTCCAATGAATGCATATGCTTCGGTCCAACTTTTTGATGATGAAGACTTGGGTCCTAAAATAATTTTCCAGATTGTGAAAATTTTGACTTCAAACAAACATAAAACATTTGAAAAAAAAAAAAAAAATTTGATACATGGCGTCTATCATTGAGTTCATACTTCTTTATTCCTCTTTCACCAAATTCATGCATACTTGATTTGCCATCTCCATTACAATAATAAGTTTTTGGATACCTTAAAAGCTATGAGATATTAATGTCACCAATTGAAGCTTGAGAATGTGTTAAAATAAGTGAAGCATTACTAATAGATTTTAGTTACCTTTATTTGAAAGGAAAGGTAGGGCATGTTTGGTTTATTGCTTAAAAAAACAGTTTTTGAAAATTCAAAAAAATATGAAACTAGAAAAATATTTTTCGAGAATTTTGAAAACAAGAAATTGTAAAAATATTTTCAGATAACTATAAAAGATAAAACTTTTTTTTTTTAAATAGTTCTAAGAAACTGTAAATTTTTTACACTTTTTTAATTCTTAAAAATAATTTGAACAAAGTAACTCAAGTGTTTGATTCCTACTAGAAATAATACCGGACTCAAGTGAGTGTTGCTAGAATTTTGAAAAAAAATTAAAAATAGGGTAAAGTGCAATAAACTCCCCTCAACTATACACCAAATGCAACCAACTTCCTCAACTACAAATAACCCCCTCAATTATGAAATTAGTTAAGTTTTAGGACACAGAGTGTTTTTCATATCATCTCCCACTACTAGAAATTGTCCCCTTTCATAATAAGACTGGAGGGCACATGTCAGCAGCCAATAGGCTGCTGACTTTATTATTATTTTTCTTCTTCAACGGGTTCTCTTCTAACTCTCCCCACTCTAGCCTTTCTCGTTGTCCAAGCCACCGGCGATGTACAACGGTGAGATCAGACAGCCTAGGGATGACACGACGTTGGTGAAGTGAGACCCATAAACAAACGACGAAGCCCCGACCAACAACCAACCACCAAAAAATCAAACGGCGACGCCCCGACCAGTCACTCGGCGACCGTGGTATATCGACCAGCACAACCATCCACCAACAGAAGAACGCGATGAACTCCTAAATTAGAACGGCGAGGGCAAAGCTTGCACATAGCGATCGCAAATGATTTGGGGTTCGAATTTCTTTCTTTCTGCTCTGCCAACATGAAGCTGACAATTGGGTACAAAAGCTTTTACGGTTTAATCGCTGTTCTGAAACTCATTGGTTGGATGAAGCCGCCGTTGCTGGGGTAGGCAATGGCAATCTCCGTGGAAATCCCTTCAACTACTCGGATTGTTTCAATTATGATGGTCGGGAGGGTCGGTCACGAGCATCAAATGTGCTGCATGTGTGCGTGTGTGTGTATATATATAAACACCATTCCCTCTCTGCGCTCTTGTTCTTCAGCAGCCGATGATATCACCGACTAATTGAATCTCTTGCTGGTGATAAGAGGGGAAAGGTAGTGAATTGCAGATGTGTGCGTGTGAGAGAGGGAGATATTTGTAAGTTGAGATGGTGTTAGGTTGTTGCAGGTGGCGGTCATGGACTCATGGAGATTTGTATGTGTTCTTGCTTGATTGGGTTGAATTGTAGACACTAAAAATTGCAGGTTGTGGTCATCGAATTTTTGTCCCAATTGTGATTTTGGGTCTCAAAGTGTAGGTGATGTTAGAGTTGATCTTTGATTTAGTGTGGTGGTGGAGAGGAAATCGGCATCTTCATCAGATTGATGTATGAAGATGGAGAATGAGTTATATTTTACCATTGTTACAGACGTTAGTGCATGTTTGGTAGGGATTAGGTCCAACCATCAGCCAAGGGCATTATGGTCTTTTAAATAACTATTTCCTTCCATGTGCAGGCACGCGCTTAAAAATGATCAGCCAGCGACAGGGATGGGTAATTTGCAACCAAACACCCAAGTTTAGGGTTTTTTTTTGCCACTTTAGAATTTGAAGGGTTTTTTTTTTGTTGCTAATTGTGGTATAGTTGGAGGGGGTTTATTGCACTTTATCCAAAAATAAATATATACTTGTTGATGAATAAATTCTTGTCTTTTTTGGTTCCTCTTAATTGCATTACTTATAGAAGGGTTATTACCATTTAGTTAAATGACGCGCTGCTCAATTTCATCGCACCACAAGGCAACCTAATTATTATTCTGACCTTCTAATTCCCAACGCAATTCACCCAATTCAATGATGCACTCTTCTTTCTTTGGCATTACTCATTTCTAATTTCCTTAATGGGTACAAATTTATCCTTCAGCCTGTCTGTGCGTGTATAGCGATTGGATAATGTGGATGAACCTTGTGTCAACAACAACAACGATCCCAGGTAAGAAGAAGATCCACCACAAAATTACCATTAAGGTGTTCTAGTTTTTCCTATATTCCCCTTTTTCATGATTGACAAACACACGTCTGTATCCATGTTGACATAGCGCGCATAACATATTGCAAGATTTATTATTTATTTCATCTGCTCATCTCTCTCTCTCTCTCTCTCTCTCAGTTGACGCTGCTAATATCACATTGTTTGATTGTTTTGACCCATATCAGGCAGATACTGATACCTACAACCGCTTTGAAAGGTAATTTTTTCCAAAGATTATGTAAACTGAACTTCTGTTTCAAGGATTATCTCAAGCACTTCTGGTTATATGAGCACCAGAACCCCTTTATTCCTGTAAAAGGGGAACTATATTTGATGATTCACTGTTATTAAATGAGTTTTGATAGCTAATTGAAAAAGAAAAAACAAAAAAAAATGAATGCCTTTGTTAGAAGTATTGAACCGTCGTTGGTTTGGCAGGTTCGATATTGAAGGAGATGAAGAGATGCAGCTGAATTTCAGTCAACAACAGGACGCAGAAATCCCAAGTACTCTAATCCTGAGGAGCCTAAAAAACGTAAGCAAGAGAACAATGCCTCTAATTTCAGTCAACTACACTACAAAACTCTTACCTTCTTCGTTGAGAGACAAACAAAAAATCAAAATTCTGAAAAACCAAAAACACCATCACCAGCAACAACGTCAAGCGATGCTCACTGAATCTCCGAAGTTCAATCATTGCAACATTAACTACCAAAAACCCTAAATTTCTTAATTCTAACTCTAATCAATCAAGAACAAGTCAAACCCAAACGAGTTCTCTTGCTTATGTTTTTGAGGCTCCTCATCATTCTCTTCTTTGGCTTGGATAAGTTCCTTTGCTAACTTTTTGATAACCAATTTAACTTCCACAGTTTCTGCAAACATCTTTTTCAATTTTTTTTTTCATTAATCTCATCCTCTTGAACCTGTTCATCACAGACTTCATTGTTTTCATCGTCTGAAATATTAGAATCAAACAAAGTAACAACATGAGGACTTTTATCAAGAAAAGCAAGAAAAGAAAAATTATTGCAATCATCGTTAGAGGAATCATTATCACTAGGAGTAGAATTCTCATAAACTGGAACTTTCATTGTTTTGCCTTTATTCCTGCCCCTTGGATCTTTCGTAGAACTAGGACAAATATTCGAAGTGTGACCTTTGTCACCACAATTCTAGCAAGTAAGTGTAGTTTCTTTAGATTATTCTCCTTTCTTTTCATTCATTTTAAAATTTGAACCCTTGTCAAAATTTTGAGATTGACCCCATTGCCATTCCTTCTCCTTTATTTTTGCAAAAACTGATTAAATTTTCTAGTCATAAATGGCACATCTTCATCAGAATTATCATCAACAATGTCATCAACTTAAGTTAACTCTAAAGCAAGATTTTTTTCTTTTTGAGTTTGACTAAAATTCTGCATCTCAAAATTTTCTAAGAACCCTCAACCTCATCTACTTGGCGCTAGACAAATCCCAATGTTTAGTGATGGTTTCTTCCCTAATTTGAAATCTCTTAGGTAAATATCTCAAGATTCTCTCACAGATTTTTCTTATCACTAACTCTTTTGCCTAAGTGACAAAGTTCAAAAATAATTTCAAGAAGACTAGAATAAAAATCAGAAAAATTAATAATTGCATACAAAGCTTTTCCATTAACATCATTACGCTCAGTTTCAAGTGCAGTGAAGGTGAAAGTATCTTTCAAAACGTGAGCAACCTTACCATCAACAGTCTTTTCCTCAGTTGGAGGTGTATAGCCTGTGTCACAAATAGTCCAGACTTTTCCTCCTGAATTTTGCAAATGAGCTCTCATCTTTGATTTTCCAAAAATTATAATTGTCTCCTTCAAATAAAGGACCACGTTATTAGGTCCACTAGGATCAAAACATAAGACATGATGAAATAATTTTTGAAATTAAGCAAAAACTTCCCACTAGGATCAACTCAATGTGTAGAGATTGGCTCTGATACCAATTGTGAGTTGTACAACGGAATATATTGTGGAAAGTTTGAGTTTTATTGAGAGAGAATTTAATCACGTGTATCTTTATTCAATTAACTCTGGTAAAATTACCGATTAATTAAATAATCATATGCAAAATAAAAGCAAGTAAAGTTTAGAGTGACACCGGATTTTAGTGAGGAAATCAATTGGAAAATCTTGAGGTTTTGTGCGCTATCCTAAGCGTAAAAAGATCCACTGTGTAGGAAGCAAAGTACACTAAACTTTAACTAAGACTCAAACCCCTTCGCTCTACCAAGACTCAATGTGCCTGCTGAATGTCCCTGACTTTGCGACTTCCCATCCATCAGCTCTCGATTTCAGACTTATGCCTCAAACCTTGTAGAAGGATCACTAGTAGATCAACAACACTCCGCAAGTGTCTTGATTCCTTCAAAGTGTGATATGAAATTCTTCTTATTTGAATTTGAATATGTAGAAGAAATAAATCTGCTTTCTCTGATCGTTGTAGATGCAATCTTCAATAGACTCGAACACGATCAGGATATGAACAACACTCTAAATTCACTATATAGCGTGTATGTTCTAAAAAAAATCTCACAAAAAGGCTTTAATGGAAATCAGAATTTTAATGCAAAAGGCCACACCAACCTATATGAGAAAATATGTTTATATGGACGTTCAAAATCCTAATTGTACTTGGAAAATAAGTTAAATTAGTGCACAGGTTTTTGGATAGAAGTTTATACCAAATAGGAAGTTAAAACAACGTAGGAAACAAGTTACCTAAATCTGTACAAACACTTGAATCGGTTCAAGTTGGCTAGTATTGATTTTGTTTTTTTAAAAAAACGAAGCTTTGCATCTTGAACCGGTTCAAGTTGGCCATACTTGAACTTGAAGAGACACTTAGAAAAATTTTGGCAATGCGAGTTTCGAAAAACTTATGATGTATGTAAGTGTCCTAACCTTCTAACTCAACTTCTTAAAGTGTTGTTCTTACCCTTTTTGTAGTTTTTAAACTATTGAACACGAACAACTCTTCAATTTTGCAACCGATGTCAAATTGAAATTTGAAACTTAGAAATACAATTTGATCGGACTTGTTTTGACACCGAAATTTGCCAATTACAAAATATATATCTCACAACTATTACATTACATATGCGTGATTGAATTTCTTCTAATGATGCCTCTATAAACATAACTGCTACTAATGATTTCACTAAAAAATTCGTCAATCTTTTTTATCACAAATATATTTGCATATAGTATGTATACATGATGCGTCAATCTTTTTTATCACAACTATATTTACATAATAGTGTGGTATACATGATACAGTTAAATCACTCAATTTACAACCTTATGTTAGCTTTTCTTCTATGACTTTATAAAGTTTTAGCTTTATATTATATTTGTTCATTTGATGAATAGACATTGACTTACCATACTTGCAGATCATCGAGCTCCCTAGAGCCTCGAATGCTCCGAAACCAGAATTAATTGATTGACTCGTCAGCGCCTCGATCCGACTCAACTTGGACATCGAACGCCCAGATCCTCAAATGTCCCAATGCCACAAATTGTCAATCAACGAACCCAGAGCCTTGATCTGACTTGGACATCAAGCGCCTAGAGCCTTTGTCCCAATGCTATGAATTGTCAATCGACGAACACTTAATTTACAACCTTATTTTAGCATTATATTATACTTGTTCATTTGATGAGACAAGCCAACGCCTCAATCTGACTCAACTTGGACATTGAATGCCTGAATCCTCAAATGTCCCATTGCCACGAATTGTCAATCAACGGACCTAGAGCCTTGATCTGACTTAGACATCGAGTGCCTAGAGCCTTTGTCCCAACGCCATGAATTGTCAATTGACGGACCCAAAGCCTCTGTCCCAACGCCATGAATTGTCAATCGACGAACCCAGAGCCTCCGGCTGACTCGGACATCGAGCGCTAAGAGCCTCTATCCCAACGCCATGAATTGTCAATCGACGAACCCAAAGCCTCGAGCTGACTTGGACAGTGAGCGCTCAAAGTCTCTATCCCAATGCCATGAATTGTGAATCGATGAATCCGGCGCCTCGATTTGACTTGAACATCAAGCACCAGAGCCTCGATCGGATTAAAAATTCAAACCATGGCATCCACACCAAGTCATCCAAAACTCGATGAGTTATGCTCTCGAGTAAACATTACGGGCAACACCCTCGAGTCATCAAACCCTAACATCCACACCAGGTCTTCAAAACTGACACCGACCGCCACAAAGCCTCAAATGTAACTAGTTTTCTATGTAACATGTGTGATGTCACGTCTGAAAAAATTCAGTGGATTATAGATCATCAAGAGAGTGTTCACAAAAAGTCACCGTAGTGCAAAACTTGTAAACTGCGGTTCCCGACCAAACCAGATCTACAGACGCACCGTGACGTATATCACTGACGGATTTATATCCGTCCAGGTCTTCAAAACTGGACACCGACCGCCACAAAGCCTCAAATGTAACTAGTTTTCTATGTAACAGTGTGATGTCATGTTTGAAAAAATTCAGGGGATTATAGATCACCAAGAGAGTGTTCACAAAAAGTCGCCGCAGTGCAAAACCTGTAAACTGTGGTTCCTGACGAAACCAGATCTGCAGAAGCACCGTGACGAATATCACTAACGGATTTATATCCGTTAGTGTTCTTCGTCGTCTTTTTTTTTTTTTTTTTTTGGCTTTTGATTTTCTCGTTCTTTATTTTCTCGCTCTACGTCTTTTTTTTTTTTCCTTGTTTTTTATTCTCTTGTTCAAAATCATCATCATACGGTATTAGGGTTGATAGTTTCTGTTATTAGAAACGCAACGAACCCAAGTTGAACCAAGAATCACGACAGAAAAGTAAACACGCCACACATAAAACACATAGATTTATACGTGGTTCGGCAACAGCCTACATCTACAGTTGGGATCCGGTGAAAGTTTTTACTGTGTAAAATTGGAGATTACAAGTTTTCAGCCCCTCACTCTATTTCTGTACGTATTTCAGAGTCTCTCTCTTTTCCACTCCAAACCCTAAGTACCCTTATATATCGGGCTACAAGAGGCTAATTAGGGTTCACGACCCATGAGCAAAAAACGGGTCAAAAAATTTTCCAAAGCTTTGGTAGGTTTGGGCCCACACAAAGCTCATCCAACGGGTTGTTGGGTCATAAACGGGTCGCAACGTGACCCCCGACACCAAACTCGGGCCACAATATCATAGTTTTGTAACCACGAAAATAAGCATTGCACCAATGCCAGCCTTAGAAAAGAAACACAGTTTCTTAGGGTTAAGGTTAAACTACTAGTAAATGCATAATTGTACACCATAAACATTTATTACTCTAATCACTAGGTTTGCTTTGCCAAGAGGAGTAGATCCTTTTCCACTCCTAAAGCAACACCAATAATAATATTGTCTACCAAGCAGGCCAGCCATGGATGGTGACGAAGCAGGCCTTTCCCCGTCTTTAGTGCCACCTTTTTGAACTGTGCAGATGGGTGTGGCAAGATGAGCTCAGTGGTGGCTAATTACTGAAAGATCCAACAATTTTGCTTCTTGTTTCATCAAACAACATACGGTCTTCAGCGTTGCTAAATTACCAGTTAATACACACTATGGCAAACCTTGACACCAAGGACAAACAACAATTCGACTCCACAATAACTACCATTACAGTATATCATATTTCAAAGAGCTAGACATGGAATGTAAATCTAGTAATTTGGAATATTAGCTCTCTTGAAAAATCTCAAAGAAACCAAAAAAAAAAATTTGAAAATTTTGAGCCCTTTTGCAAACTTAAAGAAACTATCGATCCTAATACCTAGTGATGATGATTTTGAACAAGAAAATGAAAAACGAGAAGGAAAAAAAAAAAAAAAAAAGACGTAGAATAAGAAAATAAAGAATGAGAAAATCAAAAGGAAAAAAAAGACGACGAAGAACACTAACGGATATAAATCCGTCAGTAATATTCGTCGTAGAGCCTCTGCAGATCTGGTTTGGTTAGGAATCACAGTTTATAGGCTTTTCACTGCGGCGACTTTTTGTGAACTCTCTCTTGGTGACCTATAATCTCCTGAATTTTTTCAGACACGACGTCAAACATATTACGTAGAAAACTAGTTACTCTTTCCTGTTCAATACAAGTATAGAGCCTCCTATACCAGTGCAAGTTTTGCACACCTCAGTCATTGATTGACGAGTAGTCTCGTCTATTTGGGTTCAGAAATGAACGTACAATAAAGATTTTAGAGTGATTGTCTTAGCTTTGGATTCCTATGATGGTCATCTCTTTTGTTTGAGTAGTGTAGAGTGTCTTAGTGAGAGTCCAATTTATACTTCCTTATTTGTTACTTGAGTTAATGGCTAGAAAGAGTATTTGCTAGGCTATAAATGGAATGTATAAATGCAATAGAAGACATGCTAGTACTACTGCATATAACTGTGGTCACATGATGTGATCATGTGATATTTTTTACTTGCACATTGAGAAAGGAGGATAATAGTGATGGCTAATTGGAGAAGTGCAAGTATAAATAGGCACAATTTTTTTTTGAGTTTCCTGGATTGTTCCTTTGAAAATTTGAAAAATGTGAGTAAGTTTTAAAAGCCTACCTCCGTTATTATTTGTCAATGTGTCAAATAAATTTCTACTTATCAAAAAAAAAAAAAGTGTCAAATAAATTTCTCCATGTTTATAGTCAAGGGCAGATCCAGGAATTGTCAATGAGGTGGGCTGCCAATATTTCATTGGGTGGGCTAATACTAGTAATACTATTTTTTTGGCTCGGCTAAAAATTGCCTTTATTAATTTTTTTTTTTTTTTTGGGTGGTCTAGCCCACCCCTAGGTCCGATAGTGGCTAAGTTTAGCCCAGCTAAAAAAAAAAATTAATTTATTAGTAGTACTAACCCACCCAAAAAAATATTAACAATTCCTGGATCCGCCCTTGTGCAGGCCATAGCATAACCTATTGATACTTACCACCTCGCTTCCAGCACAACCCACTCATCATTTTTCATGCGCATGCATACACACGGTAGACTCCAACTAGTCTTGATGGCACTGTGTAGGTACCTAGTATTCGGGTGGGTTCAAAATCATAATAAAGTAACAAATGGTGAGGTATAAGTTGCAACATAGTAAAATCCGAGGTGGATTGAGAGAGGTTTAAGCCCAGGCAAACTTGAGAGAGAGATAGAAAGAGGATGGTTGTTAATTCTGTAACTTTCACCATTTGATGGGAAACGAAGAAGGAACAACTAAGCAAGGGGAAAATTCAAAAAGGATAAGAGATGTGGTAAGAGCAAGAAATACTGCAAGAGGTGGATGTGCAGAAGGCACAAGCTCTGTAAGTTGAACTTTGAAGCTCTTTTTTTGCTTTGATGTGATTGTTGTTTTACGATAAACCTTCAACCATTTGAAGAATCAGCAGGTTTTGGTGCTGCACTAGGGGCAAAAAGAACAAGAGGAGTTGCAGGCTCTACAAGAGCTGTTGCAAGAGGTGGAGTCAGCTCTGTAAGTTCAACTTTCCCAAAAAGAAGGATTTAATTTGATTTCTTTTATTTGTGTATACATATGATAAGTCCACACCTTTTTTACAATATTGTCTGATGAATTGTTGTAAGATATCCAAGAAAACCTTTCATGGTGCATGTGTTTGCTGTGACATAGTTTATTAGATACTTGCAAGGAAGTCTTATCTACAAAGTTAGAAACATGGAGAAAGATTAAGGCCTAAAAATTAGTAAATTTAAAATAAATATAGCAAATTTGAAAAGTAGTAGAAGATGACAATATAATATTACAATTCAAGATGAAAAAGATTCAAAATAACTACTTCTGTTATTTATGGTCAATATATACAAGGAGATGGGGAGATAGCTGGTGATATTGTAAATAGGATTGGAGTAGGGTGGGACAAATTGGAGACAAGCTAGTTTGTATCCTATCTGGCAAATGAATACCAAATAAATGGAAAGAAAAATTCTATAGAAAAGTTATTAGGCTAACTATATTGTATGGAGAAAAGGGTTGGACGTTTAAAAAGAAAGAAGGACAATGCATTTATGTTATGGAAATGAGGACGCTATGATGGATGATAGGAGTGATGAACCGAGATAGAAATGAACGAGTGAGGAAAACTAGGTATAATGTCTACTAATGATAAAATTAGAGAAAGTGGACCTAGGTATATGGTCATATACAATGTAGATCCGAAGATGCACCAGTTAGAATAAGAAGAGGTGTTTGGCGGACAAAGAGGCCTATCAAAACTTACAAGGGATGAAGAAATAAAATATAAGCAAGCGTTTCACATTGCCCTGTTTCACAATCATTTTTTACTTTTTCATGATTTTTTTTTCTTTATTTACTGAGCATACAAAAATTGGTACCTAATGACATGGTCAAATAATAATAATAATAATGGTACGTGCTTGCACAAAAATTGGTACCAATGCGTATAAAAGTTATCCTCTATACCCAAGACAAAAGTATATGTAAAAATGTTATTTATAGTAAGAAATTTCAAAAATTAACTCCGTTAGCTCCTGATGATTGAAATGGAAAAAGGAAATTGTAAATAACTCATTCATGCTTAACATGTAACAAAATAAGAAACTTTTAAATTTGATTTTGGATCAAATCATATTTATCAAATATATAGTTAGGTATAGTTATATATGAATGGGGTCAAGAAAAAAAGCTTTGCAATAGGGATTGCCAACAAATTTAAATCAAGTCTGAAGTTGCTGACTGGTACCAATGCTAAAATTGTCTGGTTGCCACCCTTGGATGCCCTTACATACTAGGGCAATTGCACCCCTATGAAGGGATGCCCTTACAAACTAGGGCAATTGAAAAATTACAGGAAATGGAGAAACTATATATTGATTTCAGTAGGTGTGTATATATACACGTATATCTTGAGACAAGGTGTGTATGAGTAAATTTTTTACTAAAATTAAAATAAAATTATCTCGATTGATTGTTTTGACATTACATTTTTTTATTTTCGCTGTCAAATAATCTTAAAAACAATATGAGCTTACACACAATGTCTTTTTTTTTATTTTTTTATTACTATTATTATTATGTTAAGTATGATCTTACACATTGCCACCACAAGGTAAGCATGCAAAAGAACAAATTTTCAAATAAGGCAAAAGCATGCCAAAGAACTGAAAATTGTACTAATAGAGTCGGAGAGTATTAGCCTATGAAATACTATAATATCATTAAAATTGAAAAAACCATAAAAGGTTATATCAAAAATAAATAAAAAAATTGTCAATGCGTGATGCATATAATACTTGTAATAAATTACACAAACTAAACATGAAAGCTTATCAAATTACCGAAAATAAAATTAATAAACATGAAAGCTCATCAAGCAACACGTGCCATATTGTAAACATAATAGTATAAAAGGATAAACTTTTCATCAAAACTGATTGATTCAATTGAAACTAAAGAATAAGAATTGAAAAGTAAACAGAAAACTAATGCATATTTTTCACAGAATGTTACAAGCAAAGAATATAAAGAAAATTACTTGAAATTACATTAATAAAACTTTAGTAAAAGGTAAGGCTTTAAGAGTGATTGTTTTAGCTTTGGATTCTTATTATGGTCATCTCTTTTGTACAGTCTTCTAGTGAGAGTCCAATTTTTGCTACCGATCTCATTTTTTTCATTGTCAATGCTGCACTGCACGGTATTATTAACTCATATTTACTATTTGATGGGAGTTGTTATGATGTTTCGAAAAAATGAAGTTTACCAAAATGCTGAAGCGGATATAAAAATTACTATTTATTTGTCCAAACTACTCTTACTATTAACATAATATGTCGGTCAAAAGCTACCCCTGGCATTTTCTTAATAATATGAAAATAGGTCTTAGTTATGTCAATAGCATTTGGAAATGGCTAATATGCATTAATTGATTTTTTTTAAATTTGTGTTGGATAACTCAATTCAACGTTTAATTATTAAAAATTTTAGTAATATATTAAATGACATTTTCATTAAAATTTTAAATATAGAGACTTGATTAATAATTAAATATATATTTAAAATTCAAATAAATATTGAAAAAAACTATATTTATAGTTAGCAAAAACATTTATTTGTGTGACTTGTAAACTAAGTTCATCAGCATTTTATTTGTCACCCTTGGATGCCTCTCCATAGAAGTACAAAATGCGAATATATACCATATCATTCCCAATGTCACCTATATCATTTCCTTATCTCATCAGCTATGTTTGGGTAGAAGGGTTAAATGTAGACCTGTGAACGGATCGGATTTGGACCGGATCATGGTCGATCCGATCCGAATCCGATAAGTATACTAGACAATCGGATCCGGAAATCCGACGGATCCTTCTATACTCAATCCATATCCGATATCTTCTCTATTCGGATATCCGATCCGATAATCCGATCCGAAAATCAATTACACAATTTTGCTCAAATCAACATACAATTAGGAAAATTAAACAAAAAATTAACCTGTAAACCTTATTCATTTGTTTATATTTACATCATAATAATACATACCCATAACAAATACAAGGAAAAACGAAACAAAAAAAAATATTTTGCTAATAATCCCTAAAAATATTCAACACCAAATTCATCCCATATTTTCATTCTTCAAATCTTTGTTTGCATAATAAGGATGAAGAAGAAAGGGGAAAAAGAAAACAAAATATGAAATTAGATCTATGTGGAAGGGAGGAAAAAGAACACAAATTAGGGTTTGTAAGATTGAACAGAGAAGAAGAAAAAGAAGGAGGAGAATGAAAAATGGAGAGAACAACATAAATCATGATAAGGGATTTGGGCTTCCGGCGGCCAATCTTCTCACTACTTCGTCTTCTTCGTTCGCCTCTTATCTGTGGAGTCCCTAGACTCTTCTAATAACTAATAACCTTATCATGAAACACTGTAAGGGTTTCTATCTAAAGTATTAAGGTGATGTTAAGATATATGATGGTGTATATCTTAAGTATGCAACTGATTCAATCTAACGGTAGATGATTCTTAAATATGAATCTAATTGTTGATAACAATTCAATATATATAACATACATATATAATGTATATTATATATGTATATACACACACACAATTTAATCGGATCGGATTATTATCAGATCGGATTACCCTTAATTCATATCCGATTTGTTAAGTTATCGGATTCGGATCATTATCGGGTTATCGGATTTTTTTTTCAATCCATATCCGAGTAATCGGATCGGATTTGGATCGGATTCGGATCAGAATCCGATCCATTGACAGGTGTAGTTAAATATAAAAGCAGGAGAAGGTCTGCATCATTTAGGTGTAACTTATATAGATGAAGAAACTTGGTAGTTGAAGGAATAATGATGGGTTTTTGATTTGGCTTGTGGCAATGTGTGTGAGTGTATCATAGTGAGAGGTGAGTTACAGTGCATCAAGATTAATTGGAGTCTATTGTGTGTTTGTATGTGTATGAAAAAATGACGTGTGAGTGGGTTGTCCTTGTGTTCGAAGTAGGGTGGTAAGTATCAATGAGTTATGATATGGTGTGCCCAAGTGTACATGGTGGAATGTGTGTGGGGGAGGTAATATTCAAGTATGTGATCGTAGGTTAACTAACAATGTGCAAGTAATATCATGTGTGTTAGCACTTACATGCAATAGTACAAGCATGCACGTCTTCTATTGTATTTATACATTCCTATTGTAGCCCAACAAAGACTCTTTCTAGCCATTAAATAGACTAGCAAATAGCGAAGTATAAGTTGGACTCACACTTTATACTATTCAAACAAAAGAGGTGTCCCATGGGAATACAAAGTTAAGACAATCACTCTAAAAAGTTTTATTGTTCAAAATGGAGTGTCTATAATATCAATTTTCATATATTTTTTATTATTAAATTTTACAATTTTTTTTCTCTGTTAATTAGGGGTTTTTTTTTTTTTAAAAAAAAAAAAACAAAAAATAGATAAGGTAATAAAGTATTTATTAAAGAAGATTATAAAAAAATAATATATATTTTATTTAACTATAATTAAATTAGATAAACAAAAAATTGTACACTTTAAGGAAGTTATTTGTTCAAATCTCAGGGACACCAATGTAATTTACCTTTATAAAAAAAGTTATATATATAACTCTCGAGTTATATATATAGGCGCTTGCCTTTTTTTTCATTTTGAACATCAACAACCCTCGAGTTATATATACAGTCGCTTACCTTTTTTTCATTTCTGAACATCAATTACCCTCGACTTAAAATCACACATATTACACAAAAAAGTATTTTTCCTTTCCTCTTCAGTACACGCACACAACCTCCTATCTTCTTCTTTATTGTAATTTCTAGGAGGATGAGGAAGAGGAACTTGAGTGGATTGATTCCTAAATTGAGGTGGACGATGATAGAAGATTGATTGAAAGAATTATTTTGGGGCGGAGGATTGGATAAATTTTGGTACTGTCCCTAAGATTGGGGAACAGTATTGTCTTGGCTTTGATTCTGCCATGATAGATTTTGATGATCTCTCTAGCCTGGATTATAGGTATTAGAATATAGATTATACCCTCGTCTTGAGATTGCAGCATTTGCTTGCTCTTGAGGAATTTCAGAAGATTAACCCATAAGAGGACAACTATCAGCAAGATGAGCTGGATTAGCATAGATTGAACACACCAGATGATAAGACTTGGAAAAGAGGCATGCTAAGAAAAGACGGGAACATACCCAGATGATAAAACTTGGTCGAATCTTCGGTTCAACGCTTTTATTTGAGTGGCTAACTCTCTAGATTTCTCAATTTTATATAGATTTTCAACCTTATGGACACCAAGAGTAAACCTCGACCTAGAGAAAGAAGCATGTTGTATGGAATTTTTACTTAGGGCCACAAACAGTTCCCAAGCGTCATCTGCACTCTTATGAAAGAAAGCTCCATTACTGGAAGCATCTACCATTTCCTTTGCAGATATGATAATCCATCATAGAAGATCTACACCAAATGCCATTTAGCAATATCACGGTGTGGACACTTTTTCAGAAGATTATTATATCTCTCCCAAGAATCATGAAGTTGTTAATCCGGGGCTTGGGTAAATTGCATGATTTCTCTTCTCATTTGTGTGGTTTTACCCATAGTGTAGTACTTTTTCAAGAATTCCTGTTGCAACTTATCCCATGTGCCTATGGAATTGTTTGGTAGGGCGTGCAACTAGGTTCTTGCTTTGTCCGTGAGAGAGAATTGAAAGAGTCTCGTCCTAAAAACATCATCAGAGAGAGTGAACAACTTGGTAGTTGAACACAATTCCAGAAACTCATCTAAGTGCTTATAGGGATCTTCAGTTGCAAACCTGTGGAATGAAGAAAGCATTTGGATCAGAGCAGGCTTCATCTGAAAGTGGGTTGTATTAGTGTTTGGGAATTGAAAGCACGAGGGG